TGGTAATGTTCCATGGTAATGTTCCATGATAATGCTCCATGGTAATGTTCCATGAATATATGTTCCATGGTAATGTTCCATGGTAATGTTCCATGGTAATGTTCCATGGTAATGTTCCATGATAATGTTCCATGGTAATGTTCCATGATAATGTTCCATGGTAATGTTCCATGATAATGCTCCATGGTAATGTTCCATGATAATGTTCCATGGTAATGTTCCATGATAATGTTCCATGATAATGTTCCATGATAATGCTCCATGGTAATATTCCATGGTAATGTTCCATGATAATGCTCCATGGTAATGTTCCATGATAATGTTCCATGGTAATGTTCCATGGTAATGTTCCATGATAATGCTCCATGGTAATGTTCCATGATAATGTTCCATGGTAATGTTCCATGTAATGTTCCATGATAATGTTCCATGATAATGCTCCATGGTAATTTCCTGATAATGTTCATGGTAATGTTCCATGATAATGTCATGGATCCATGGTAATGTTCCATGATAATGTTCCATGGTAATGTTCCATGGTAATGTTCCATGATAATGTTCCATGGGTAATGTCCATGGTAATGTTCCATGGTAATGTTCCATGATAATGTTCCATGTGTAATGTTCCATGATAATGTTCCATGAATGTTCATGGTAATGTTCCATGATAATGCTCCATGGTAATGATTCCATGGTAATGTTCCATGATAATGTTCCATGGTAATGTTCCATGGGTAATGTTCCATGGTAATGTTCCATGGTAATGTTCCATGATAATTGATCCATGTAATGTTCCATGATAATGTTCCATGATAATGTTCCATGGTAAGTCCATGTATTTCCATGGTAATGTTCCATGATAATGTTCCATGGTAATGTTCCATGATAATGTTCCATGGTAATGTTCCATGGTAATGTTTCATGGTAATGCTCCATGGTAATGTTCCATGATAATGTTCCATGGTAATGTTCCATGGTAATGTTCCATGATAATGTTCCATGATAATGCTCCATGGTAATGTTCCATGATAATGTTCCATGGTAATGTTCCATGGTAATGTTCAGCATGATAATGTTCCATGATAATGTTCCATGGTAATGTTCCATGGTAATGTTCCATGATAATGTTCCATGATAATGCTCCATGATAATGTTCCATGATAATGTTCCATGATAATGCTCCATGAATGTCCATATATGTTCCATGGTAATGTTCCATGATAATGTTCCATGATAATGCTCCATGGTAATGTTCCATGATAATGTTTCAAGGTAATGTTCCATGGTAATGTTCCATGGTAATGTTCCATGGATAATGTTCCATGAGTATGATAATGTTCCATGGTAATGTTCCATGGTAATGTTCCATGATAATGTTCCATGATAATGCTCCATGGTAATTTCCATGATAATGTTCCATGAGGTAATGTTCCATGGTAATGTTTCCATGATAATGTTCCATGGTAATGTTCCATGGTAATGTTCCATGATAATGTTCCATGGTAATGTTCCATGATAATGTTCCATGATAATGCTCCATGGTAATGTTCCATGGTAATGTTCCATGATAATGTTCCATGGTAATGTTCCATGATAATGTTCATGATAATGTTCCATGGTAATGTTCCATGGTAATGTTCCATGATAATGTTCCATGGTAATGTTCCATGGATAATGTTCCATGTAATGTTCCATGTTAATGTTCCATGGTAAATTTCCATGTAATGTTCCATGATAATGTTCCATGGTAATGTTCCATGATAATGTTCCATGTAATGTTCCATGGTAATGTTCCATGGTAATGTTCCATGATAATGTTCCATGATAATGTCCATGGATAATGTTCCATGATAATGTTCCATGGTAATGTCCATGATAATGTTCCATGGTAATGTTCCATGTTAATGTTCCATGATAATGTTCCATGTAATGTTCCATGTAATGTAGGTAATGTTCCATGGTAATGTTCCATGGTAATGTTCCATGGTAATGTTCCATGATAATGCTCCATGGTAATGTTCCATGGTAATGTTCCATGATAATGTTCCATGATAATGCTCCATGATAATGTTCCATGATAATGTTCCATGGTAATGTTCCATGGTAATGTTTCATGATAATGTTCCATGGTAATGTTCCATGATAATGTTCCATGGTAATGTTCCATGGTAATGTTCCATGATAATGTTCCATGATAATGCTCCATGGTAATGTTCCATGATAATGTTCCATGATAATGTTCCATGGTAATGTTCCATGATAATGTTCCATGATAATGTTCCATGGTAATGTTCCATGGTAATGTTCCATGGTAATGTTCCATGGTAATGTTCCATGATAATGTTCCATGTTAATGTTCCATGTTAATGTTCCATGATAATGTTCCATGTGTAATGTTCCATGATAATGTTCCATGGTAATGTTCCATGTAATGTTCCATGGTAATGTTCCATGGTAATGTTCCATGATAATGTTCCATGATAATGTTCCATGGTAATGTTCCATGATAATGTTCCATGGTAATGTTCCATGATAATGTTCCATGGTAATGGGCGTCTAATTTCATTGTTCTATGAAGTGTTCCAATCCATATAATCTTCATGACTGAATATGAACAATGAATGTCCCTTTCAATTCATGAAATTTCATGTTTTTAGCAAGTTCATGATTTATGTGACTCATGATATTCATTGACTAATTCATGACAATGTTTTGGTATTTCAAATTGTTCCACATGGTCAGTTCAGAAACCAAATGTTCTGTTAATGCATTTTTTTACAATGTTAAGTTAAAATCATATGTTAATGGAAATCCATTGTAATTACCTGAATTGAGGAAGAAATTTCATGTTTGACCCATGTATGTATGGAACTGTCCACGATAACTGTTCCTGTATCGGCCTACTACATGACCAGAAATTTATCATTCGTATATGAAAGGAGCCCAATAAATGTGCTTCGACTGACATGTACACACTTATTGGCATATTAACGACCATCGTTTTGGATCCGTGTTTGATGACCCAAGGATGGACTTGTTATAGCCAGTAAACCGAAATGTTCTCTAGATTTTTTTTAATGTTAAAAAATTAGGAATTGATTGATATGACTTGACTAAAATTTTAAGACCATATAATATCCAGGATAAAAAATGTTCATCTTTGTCAAACCCAAAATTATATAGTAACAAGTACCGCTATTTCGGAAGTATTTGTAAAAAGACAAATCGACGATGTTTGACCTTTGAACACTAAACTATGCAAGTCACGCGATAGTTTATTTTTTATTTTGGTTAGTTGGGGAACTACTTCAACATCCGGCAGTAAAAAACATCTATGACCACGGAAGGTCGTACAATGTACACCGTACGGACTTTTGCCTGTGGCACTTTGAAAAACTCACTTGCCAAGTCGCGCTGTGATGGATTCTGGTGTCGTGGGGGACGCTTCACTCCGGAGTGAAGGACCATGACAATGGAGTCGAGTGACAACGTAGGACTTTGCTGTGGCCGTCTTGAAGAAGACCTGCTGTGGCGTGGTGTTGGGTCTCAGAGTGGGGGGTTGACTCGTATTAAAGACACCTGCTCATGAAAAGGAATAATAGTATAGGGAAATATTAGTGGTTTAAAAAATTAAAAAAAGTCTACAATATGGTAGAATAAAGACATTGTTACATTAAAAATGATTGACAAATTTGAGAAAATTAATGTAAAGACTATTATTTTTGTAAAAATTCTAAAGACTATAAATAAAATTGACAAGAATAACATTAGAGAGGTAACTGTAGGAAATTCATTAGTGTAACACATTTTGTATTATTATTTTTTTTTTTTTTTGCTATTTAAAACAGTTGACGTTTCTATTAAAGCTTTGACTTCTCTTTGATGGGCACTACTTACTAGAAGTCACTGGAGAAATTTTGCGTGTTGTGGTCTCTGGCTCAGTCTTGATTATGGATGCTTCAGCGGGGAGATTAATGGGTTTGAAACCTCCTGAGATTGTCTGGGGTGAAGGTGCAGCTTCAGGCTTAGTTTTGGGAAGAGGCGTCGCTTTGTTCTTTGGGAATATTGTTTCTTGTTTAGGTGGTCTGAAGGTGAGTCTGGTTTCTTTCGGTGCAGACTCACTCGCCGTTTGTCTATTCGTATTGTTGTCTTCTGATTTAATGATGGGCTTGAAACCTCTCTCAGTATTGGGAAGTGTACTTGGCGTCGTGTGAATATACACTGGCTGGGGACTTGGTGCATTTGACAATGGACTCAGTGTAGCTGAAGCTACGCCTTCTATTCCGTTGAAGACCTTAAAGTGTGTGCCTCCTCGGTTACCTTCATTTTGAAATGTTCCAAATGTCTCCGACTTCTCGCCTGTGGAGCTAAAACCATTGCTTGCTGAATGGCGAGCCCCGTCCGCTTGAACGCTCACTGGGCTTATTGGAGGAAGTGGTTGAGAGGGGAGAGATGATGGAATTCTAGGGCGTTTTAGTAGATGTTGCTTAGGATTAGTGGTTTACGTTGTGGCGGTCGAAGTTTCTGTTGCGGTTGTAGAGGCTTTTGTATTTGTTGTCTCTGACGCTTTTGTTGCCGTTGTATCGTGTTCAAGGAAGGACCATTGCCGTTGACTGTGGAGGCCTGAGCTTGTAGAGGAGGCGGCGGCTGAAGGAAAGTGGTGGCGCGATCACGTTGCTGGGAAGTTCCTTGTATTCGAGATTGAGGTTGGTAGGGGTAATATTTATCGTAATAATCCTTGTATCTAATGTACCACTGGTGATACCACTGGGCATAATTCTTCTGGTATTCTATTTCCTGGTCAAGGAGTTGGTTTTGTGGCGGGTTCTCTTTTTCACCTCTCCTGAGCTGCTGATTACGGAGAAACTGCAAATTAGGTGGCCTCAAGTTACCTGGAGGGCCCACAGCAGGAGTGTCCACTCGCGCGGTCTCTGAACTTCCCGATAAGAAGTAAGGGATGGATATAAGTCCACCCAAGAGAGCCAGCCAGGACATTGGACCAAATGCTGAAAGGAAAACCGTAAAATGAGTAATATTTAACTTTCTACAAGATACTAAAACTTTATTACGTGTGTGTGTGTGTGTGTGTGTGTGTGTGTGTGTGTGTATGTGTGTGTGTGTGTATTAACATACTGGCCCTCTCCCACCGAGGTAGGGTGGCTCGAAAAAGAGGAAACACTTTCACCATCGTTCATTCTATAACTGTCCTGCCAGATGTATGCTGCCTCATGTATATACCATTCTTATTGTGTCAGTTGAGGAAAGTAGATTTAGCGTATTGCCAAGCTTTGGTGAATCCATATTTTCTTAGCTATGTTAGACAACATTAAACATGAAGTCTTAATTCTTTTAGCTATATATTCTATTAGTCGGTCTGTCTCCGGCTGTTGCTAGGGCAAATATCCGAACGCAAATGAGCAATCATTTTTGTGTTATGTATTATAAAACTGGTGTAGTTATCGAGAGTAGGTGAATTAAACTGCAAGTTCCTAATAGATTTATAAAAAGAGAACAGCAAAGTGTAGTTTGTCTATGTCAGTGTTGGTAAGTAAATAAGTTAGGTATCTTTACGAGTATTCCGAAACGTTTCGCCTGCACTATAGGTTTCTTCAGTCGAGTACAGAAGAATGTGCAGAAGCAGTAGAGATGCGAAGACGATGTCATCAGTCCGTTACCCTTGAAGACGTAATGTTTGAGGTGGTCAGTCCCTCAGCCTGGAGAAGAGTTTTGCTCCATATCATTGACAAAGTCTTTATGTCAGTGATATTGCTCTGTCTATCGTGCGAAGAGACGATCACTTGCAGTGGGCTTATTGGACCATGCTAGGCAGGAACTCCTCATCCCAAATACTATAACAATTTCTGAACTTGTCTAGTATATTTTGAATTCGTGTGAATGACGCAAAATAGCCAGTTCTCCTCATCTACAACTCCATTACCAAACCAGTACTGTCTTCTAAATCCGAATCAGAACGTGAATTTATCCATCGTGAATCCAAAACTGCCAGTTCAGTCTAGGTCACATACTTTCATCCCTTATCTCTCTCCACATTATTCGATTATCTGTTCAGTTTGTTATGCTACTCATCCATTTCCTTCACAGCGCACTGATGTTCGGTCCACAATGTGGAGAGAAAAGATGTTCTGAATTTTCCACAAGAGTTCTTACCAACGGTAAGTAGAGTTGAAAATTAGACACATACGCAACATCTGGGTATCTTTAATGTAGACGTTTCGCCATCCAGTGACTTTATCAATGCAAATTCTAGGACATAATTTGAAGACAGTAGAACTATATACAAAAGATGAGGCAATTAGTCCCTCAGCCTGAGGGACTGATTACCTAATCTTTTGTTATAGTACATCATCTTGTGGCTATAGTATATCAGTCATGTACGATACACAGAGTTGTAGCATAACCTTGAGACTTTCTTTATTGAAAATTATAGATAGAAAGTCACGATGTTTAGTTGTTTTAAGGTAATATCTTTACTAAGTAGTAACTTAGACTGAAGTTTATTCTGACTGTTATAGTCAGAGAAAAGAGCTAAGTCCGTAAGGTTACATAGTGCCTGGAGACTGAGATGTGAATCAGACTTACTCCGAGGAAAAGGATGGTATCTACATATCCTCGGATCAAGAGCCCTTCACTGGCATCCGATGTAGTTCAGCTGGGCTTGTGAGGTCTCTAGGGAGACCTAATTATATGGTCACCTTGCCTTGGCAAGTGGTTAAGCAGCCACGCATTTTCGGCTTAAGTCTCAGCATCACAGCACGGCCGCAGCATAGCAGCACTGCTACAGCATCGCAGCAAAACCAATGAACGGATTCGGATTTTTAACAGCAGGGTAAGTTCTCCTTCCTTCTGCTTTAAGTTCTACATTATTAACTTTAAAGATACAATGGATATTTCCCCTGAGTTACTGTTAGTGGCATGTTAAACTGCACGTCTTCCTGAGTTAAATTAAGCTGTTTTTAGAAAGAGTAAATTTTCAGGTAAAGGAATCTGATTAAAATTCCGTGTGATCAACATGGGTGGTTTATGGGGGTTTTAAACCTCATTAACCTACATAGATTAGTTAATGGTCCAAGTCGGATCGAAACGTCGTCATAAGTTTCAGTCTCCTATGTGAGGCTTATTTATGCATTGTTTCAGTCATGGTATTGTGACTTTTTAATTTATTATTATTATTATTATTATTATTATTATTATTATTATTATTATTATTATTATTATTATTATTTAATTATATAAAAGAAACATAATAATTATCATTTTTTCTTCCTTCCTGTAATCCCAATCCATCTTTCTCTATCTGAATCCGAATTCACCAACCCATTTTACCTCCTTCTTCAGTTCCACTGATCACAGTTCTCCTTCCCAGCTACACTACATGGAAATACCATAGACACCTGCTACTTCATGAGGATCCCTCAAGAAGTTCCTGATGTTGGTAGGGGCCTCTTGATTTAAGAATTGGATCTGTGCTCCAGTTCCCGAATTAAGCCTGAATCCTTCACATATCCCCCTCCCAGCGCTTATAATCCTCGGTTTACGCTCCCTTGATTATAATAATAATAATAATTCAGGAGGGAGCTGGACAGATACATAATGTTCCCAAAGTAAGAGCCACAGCCCGACCAGCTGGGCTGTGGTTCGTACGTTGGAGTACGTGCGGCCAGCAGTAACAGCCTGGTTGATCAGGCCCTGATCCACCGAGAGGCCTAATCAAGGACTGAACCGCTGGGGTGTTAATTAACCTTCCCCCTCCTAAACACCCTCCAGGTAGACTCCAGATAGGTAGTACCTCCATGACCCACTACAGTTCCTTCCCAACACACAGTAAATCAGAAAAGCTTAAAGCAAGCTTATATTAGTCATGACGTTTTGATCACCCTGTTAATTTCTGTCTCTTTGTGATATTTTAATCCTTCACTGTTTTTCCTCTCCACTTTACCCTTTTTCCTAATAAACTTAATCTAACCTAACCTAACATGCCTAGTTTCGCCCATTTCTATTCTATTCCCATCTTCTGTTGTGCAGCTCCTTACTAAGTCTTATGCTGAGAAATCTCAGGTTGTTTTATGTAAATACAAGAAAAATATATATTATAGATTTGTACAGATGTTGTAATGGGAATTATAATATCGATTGTTTATATGTATATAATACTAATAATGAAAATAATAAGTAGAATGCGAATAAGAATTAGAAATGTGAATAAGAATAGCGCTTTTAAAGAAACAAGAAAAATAACGTTATATTATTATTATCACTGACAATAATAATAATAATAATGATGATGATAATGATATTGTCAAAATCATCATCGTAACTCACATATTACAGAGGTGACAGCGGGGTCAGCACGCGCCATGGGAACACTCAGCTCACTCTCAGAGGTGGCAGAGCGACCTTGAAGTTCGGATAGGGATTTTTGAGCCATGAACTCCTGCATCTCCCTATCATGCAGGATTAAACTCTCCGGTAGCACTAGCTTAAAGCGGTGGTTTGAGAGGTAGTCTTCCGCTAGCTCACTGAGAATTTTAGTGGACTCGTCCTCGCTCATATCGTCGTCAGCAAAGACGTTCGTCAGTTTCTTGGCGAGAAAGAGGAGATCTGAGCCCATTTTCTCTTTGCCTAGATACTTGAAGCTGGTTTTGAAGGCGGTTATTCCACCTGCTTTCATGAGATCTTTGTATGTTGGATTCTCCTTGTGGGTGTAAGCTTGTACTATTGCTCTCAGGATGGGGAACAAGTTGTCTTTGTTAATGACAACGTCTTTCTCGTAGTGAAGAGGTTTCGGAACATTGTCTTCGAACTCTGCTTGCGTGGGAACTTGTGTGTCATTCTGAGAGAACAATGTATAGTCTTCATCCTCCTGTGAATACATATCGTGGTCATATTCGGTCGGGTTTTCCAAGTATTCATCGTTATAGTACTCTGAGTGCTCGTCATCATAGTCTTCCCCTGTCTCCTCTGTTTCAGAAGAGAGAGAAACATCGTCGGACCAGTCGTCTCCAACTTCTTGTACAATAGCAACAGTCTCCACATCTCTTATAGAAGCGCTGGATAACAATGTTTTTTCAGGTTCCTCAAGTATTGTTACATTCTCGACGTGAGACTCCGGCGTAGAGGACGACGAAGCCGAAGATACGGTAGTTGTCCTTTCGGTGATGTTTTTGAAGGAACTCTTTGTAGTAACCGCATCACTAGTCGTGGAAGATGTCGTCGTAGATGTCGATGAGGCTGTGGTCATAGGAGAACTTATAGTCGTTGAAGAGGATATGGTCGTAGAGGAGTGTAGGGCAGCAGGGGATTTTGTCGTAGAGGATGTAGTCGTAGACGGAGAATTGAGTGTTGACGATCCGACACCAATCACCACCACAAGAGTCACTACTTGCTTTAACAGCCACATTTCTAATGTTTAGAGTTAGTACTGTAAGTCAGCCACTAAAGTTTGCATTACATATTAACACATAGAGGGACACAAATTGCCCAGCGTTTTAACTCGGATGAACGTCAGTATCCTATCTGCTCCGTCAGCAAGAATCACAGTCACAGAAGAGGTTCCGTGGCCTTGGGTGCTGGCTGCCAGTGATGTGGAGCACGTGTGGCCTTGGCAGTGGCTACGGCAGATCTGACCTAGTGAGGGGCAGCTCCACGGCTTCGTCTCACATGGCGAGCTTCCAACGAGAGCTTGGGGGCCGACCAATCGCAGCTCAACACTTCCAGTGGTGCTAATTATACTCCAGACTTTTGTCACCTCTCATGCTAGTTATGTATTTTTCTATTTTATTCATTATTTTCAGGATTCTGATGGGAGTAAGAATGGGAATTTGGAAGAGAACAACTTTCTGAGTGTAGTAAAGTAATAATATATTTCACAAGGAAACAGAATGCCTGTTTGCAGCGCTTCTCAGTCTTTCTGAGACGCTTTCTCTTTTGGGCGGAGCAAACCGTTGCGCCTCCGCATGTCCTACGCAATCCACGATCTGCTAATGTTGTTGATCTCTGCATAAGATTCACTTATTCATCAGTAAGACGAATCGCTGAAAAAAATAGATGATCATCATCATGGCATTTAAAACATACTTAGGGAAAATTTATTTGCATTCATTAATATATCTGGTGGAAGTATATTAATGTTGAAGCAGTGAGTAGTTGTTAGCTCTTATTCCAGGTATTGTGGTATCTAGTTAAATAAATTACATAAATTTTGGCATTTTACGTAATAAAGAGCTTAGAGAATTCCGTAACGACTTTGATTAGAATGAGGAACATAACTCTTCAAAAATTCCCACCACCGCTACAATAGGTTAGTTAATGTTGTCAATAATTTTTGTCAGACTCACCTGGATGTCAGTTAAACTGAAGAAGTGGTTCATCAGCTAAAAAAAAAAATTATTAATAAAACAAAGATCCGTCCTCCTTAACTTGATTTGCAAACAAAAAAGAAACATTTCCGTTTTAAGAAAAATGTGTTAGAAATTCTGAAGGTGCGTCTAGGTATGTTTGGTGTCGCCATCACTGCGGCCCACAAGTTAGAGACATCTTTCTGAAGAAAATATTACATCACTGCAAGTAATTCGAGTTTGTTACAGGGAGAAAATTTACCCAATACTAGGTTAACAGAGAGAAATATTCATATGTATCTGCATGGAAGAAGTCTGAGATAAATATACATTCACACAGCTTCTGGGTGAAAATCTTATAATTTCTCTGAAGACTTTTTATATATATATGCTTAGATATACTCATTTATCCGGTTACGCTAAAATTATTCTTGACTACATATATTTTTATCATGTAACATGTAGTCGAGTATCTCTATTGGTATCCTGTTGATGTCTTATCATGTAAGATGTAGTAGTAAATCCCTTTGATCTCTAGTTGATGTCTCATTGTCATGTATCATGAGGCCGTTGATCTCTTTCGTCTCCTGTTGATTTCGTTTTATCGTGTAAAATGTACTTGAGGTTTTCCTTGATCTCCTTCCAACTACCATCATTGAGAACCATGAATTCCTCCATCAACATATGTAGTTAATGACTTTGCATATCACGACCTATTGCCTGCAAGAATGCCGGAGTGCTCGGGCAAAGATGTGTCACCCAACAAGAATGTTTGGTTTCTCGGGCAAAAATATGTCACCCAATAAGAATGTTTGGTTGCGAGGGCAAAGATGTGTCACCCAATAAGAATGTTTGGTTGCGAGGGCAAAGAGGACACTGGAAGATAACACGAGTAATGACGCCAACGCTACTTTCTCCTGATGCTGATGTTGTTGTTAGCGTGGTTGTTGCTGGTGCTGGTGCTGCTGCCAAAGCTGCTTGTGTTGATGTCATTGTTGCTGGTGCTGCTGTTGCTGATGCCGGTGGTGATACTGATGCTGTTGCAGGTGCTGTTGCTGCTGATTTTGTTTTTGTTAGTGTTGTTTTTGCCACCGTTGCTGCTGCTGCTTTTGTTGCTGCTGTTGCTGATGCCACTGCTGTTGATGGTGGTGGTGGTGTTGCCATTATTGCTTCTTATTCTGTTGTTGCTGGTGTTGTTGTTATTGCTGGTGTTGCTGCTGTTGTTGTTATTGCTGGTGTTGCTGCTGCTGCCGATGTAGTGGTGATATATTTCTTCTTTTCTTGATGTTGCTGAGCTGTTATTGGCGGTAGTGCTACTGCTGGTGCTGCTTCTGCTCCTGATGTTAATGGTAATGGTGCCGTTAGTGCTGATGATACTATTGTTGATTCTGCTGTTGCTGTGAGTGGAGGTGGTGGTGGTGCTAGTGTTGATTCCAACCACTCTCACCTTAACCCCTAGCATTTCATCACGTCGCGGAAGGAGGAGAAAGCGCTAACACAAACTCAAGAACAAAAAAAAAAAAAAGGTAAAGACAATATACGTCCGCTGGTCAGACCGGTGAGGGCGTCACGTACCTTGGGAGCCAAGACTAAACAGAATCCCTTCAAGGGATGTTCCTTGATGCTGGTGAGGGGCTCTTGATCTAAGGGAACTGGATCTGTGCTCCAGTTCCCCGAATTAAGCCTGAATGTCTGCCATCCTTTCCCCATCCCTACGGTTTAGCGCTCGCCCATGATGATAATAATAACAATCTAAATAGAATGACATGGGACTGCATTTGACTAGTTTGTGAGGCAGTATTTGTTGAAGCACGGTCACCGGTACAGACGAAAGCTTTCGTTTGAGGCTAAGTTTCATTCTGTACAGAGCTTCATGAAGTTAGTGTATTCGTGTAGCTCTACACAGAGCTATACGTTGTTCAAATGCAAGCTATATACAATGTTTAATAAAATTTTCTCTGACAAGGGCGAACCTGTCAGCCAACACAACTAGAATCATTCATTTCTAGATTCATGCAATCATCAACAACAGAAGGACCATCTAAGCGATCTACACGTATCCTGAAGAAGAAGAAGAAGAAGAAGAAGAAGAAGAAGAAGAAGAAGAAGAAGAAGAAAGAAGAAGAAAGGAAAAAGATGAACAAGACTTCGGTTGTCATAAAGCCAGCGTCACGAGGCATATGCTCTGTTTCCTGACGACTCTTATCTAACCTAACAAAAGCTTGCTTTGCACCTGTTTCTTGTCTTCAGCACTGCCGGCAGTACGTCAACTATATTGAATAGTATTGGCATGTGTTGGCAACTGTGCTGGAAGATCGTGAAGGTGAGGGACGAGCAGGTGGTAGGTGGTGGGTTGCTGTGCGTGCCATCCTATCACTTCCTGCAGAACTACGTGAAACTGGTCGTTTTACACTCATGTCTCATTTTTCATTGAACCTGGTCGTTTCAAGGACACTTTCCCCAGGATACATTAAACTCTTGGTTAGTTAAGGGACACTTTCCCCAGGATACATTAAACTCTTGGTTAGTTAAGGGACACTTTCCCCAGGATACATTAAACTCTTGGCTGCTTAGGGGCACTTTCCCCAGAATACATTGAACTGTTAGCTGTTATATTGTAATTTACCTAAGATACATTGAACTCTTGGCTGTTTCGTGGTCACTTTTCCCAGGATACACAACACGTGGTCAATTGAGCTTCATTTCTCAAGGATAAACACTCGCTCGATTCCTTCATTCCACTATGTATTAGAGAGAGAGAGAGAGAGAGAGAGAGAGAGAGAGAGAGAGAGAGAGAGAGAGAGAGAGAGAGAGAGAGAGAGAGAGAGAGAGAGAGAGAGAGAGAGAGAGAGAGAGAGAGAGACAGGATGTGTAAGAAATAAAGGGGAAAAACTATATATCGTGACTTAACATGATAATTACGACCATAGCTAATAGTGCATTACCTACTTTCTAATATACCGTTACTACCGTGTTCTAAATCTTTCTAACATTTCCTAGCTGAAGCGTTTTAAAAATTACTTTCAATGATTCTACATCTAAAATGCTGTATATCAGTGGTACTCTGCAGACCAGATGATGTATTAAACACGTGTGAAACATCTGGGTGGCGAAGCGTCTACAAGTCAAGATACCCAGATGTTGGATATGTTGCAATGCGTAATATTACATTTCTTATTAAACTGTAACGAGAAACCTAGAAATATTTTAAAAATGGTTTCATTATGTAAGGTTCTTACATTATTGCTTTTAAAATGTATATAATATAGCCCTTATTCTTAATGCTCTTACATAGAGTTGTCAGGAAGTGGAACAATCTGGAGAGTGATGTAGTGGAGGCAGGTTCCATACATAGCTTTAAGAAAAGGTATGATAAAGCTCATGGAGCAGGGAGAGAGCGGATCTAGTAACGACCAGTGAAGAGGCGGGGCCGAGAGCTATGACTGAACCCCTGCAACCAGAATTAGGCGAGTACAGTTAGGTGAGTACACAAGCACACAAGGATCAGTGGGTTGTCATTGAGAACCCACTGATCTAGAAACATATGTAGGAGGTAAGTGATGGTTAACGTCGTTCTCTTCTGCCTTGGTGGGTCACTGTCTTGGTGGGTCGCTCTATCTTGGTGGGTCACTCTATCTTGGTGTGTCGCTCTATCTTGGTGGGTCACTCTATCTTGGTGGGTCACTCTATCTTGGTGGGTCACTTTGTCATGGTGGGTCACTCAACCTTGGTGGGTCAATCTTGGTAGATCACTCAACTTGGTGGGTCACTTTGTCTTGGTGGGCCACTATACCTTGGGTCACTCACTATTTTGGTGGGTCACTGTCTTGGTGGGTCACTGCCTTCGTGGATCATTGTCTTAGTGGGTCACTCTCTTGGTGGGTCACTTTGTATTGTTGGGTCAAACTACCTTAGTGGGACACTCTATTTTGGTGGGTCACTCTGCGTTGGTGGGTCACTCTGCCTAGGTGGGTCACTCTATCTTGGTAGATCACTCTACCTGGTGGGTCACTCTACCTTTGGTGGGTCAATTTGCCTTGGTGGGCCCCGCTGTCTTGGTGGGTCACTCTACCGTGGTGGGTCACTTTGCCTTGGTGGGTCACTCTATCTTGGTGGGTTACTCTCTTGGTGGGTCACTTTCCTTTGGTGGGTCACTCTACCTTTGTGGTTCACTCTGCCTTGGTGGGTCACTCTGCCTTGGTAGGTCACTCTATCTTGGTGGGTCACCTGTCTTGGTGGGTCACTTAACCTTGGTGGGTCAATTTAGTAGGTCACTCAACCTTGGTGGGTCTCTTTACCTTGGTGGG